TGTCAGCCTTCCCAAGTAAACGTGTGAGCTCCAGAACCTCCCTGGCCTGCTCCTCCTTGGGGGGACACAGGCTGACAAGCAGGATAAGTGTGTCCTCTCTTCCTCGCCAACCCTGTGACCACTCTTCTGAGACACAGCACCACCAGTCCCTGGGGCTCCCCGTCCTCCCAGGAGAAGGCGCTGGTGACAAACTACCAATCCTCATGCTCCTCTGGACGCGGCAGGTTCAGGACCAGCTCATGGTCCCTCTGCTGGGCTCCTCCATGAGCAAGGCGTCCTTACCAGTTGCCCCAAGTTGCTTGGGCTCCTCAGGGCCAGTGCCCAGGGGATGGAGCTGGGGGGCTCAGCAAGACTGCTCTACGCTCACTGAGCACTCCTATGTGGGGCATCACCTCTACCCAGGTTTCTCTATTTGTTTTCACCAAGAGTTGAAAAAAATAGTTATTCTCTGCTATGACCTGGACAATGGTTTGTCCCCCCAAGGTCCATGTGTTAGAATTTGATCCCGGCGTAATGGCCTTGGAAGGTGGTGTGACCTTTAAGAGGTGAGGGATGGATGGAGTGGGCGGGGACTGGATTATGGAGGCACTGACCTCATGAGTGGGTTTTGCTAAGGAGTGAGTTCTAGCTCTCGTGAGGAGGGTTTAGTTCCCACAGGAGTGAGTTGGAGGAGGAAGATGGCCGCCCCCGTGTGTGTGTGTGTGTGTGTGTGTGTGTGTGTGTAGGGGGTGTCTCTCTCTCATCTGCATACACCCGCATTCTCTCTGCTCCCGTCAGCCATACTGTAATGTAGCCAGCTTGATGCCGGCCCTACTTATTTGGACCTTCTGGCCACAAGAACTGTACACCAAACAAGCCTCTAGGTTTTTTTGTTTGTCTTTTTCTTATATTTTTGCTATATGATATGTGTGCTCGCCAGAGAGAGAGAAACAGAGAGAGGGAAAGTGAGAAATCAACCCCCAGGGGGACGGCCACACGGCTTCTCCATTCTCCTCTCGGGATTTGGGGCATGCAAGCACACATGCTCAGAGTGATTGTCCAGCTGCCGGGTCTGGGACTCAAGCAGTAGCTGGCCACCTGGGAGCCTGGCACCTTAACTGCCATGCCACCTGCTGGCCCCGTAACATTTTTAAGAAATTATTTATTTATTTAATTTTATTTGTTACTATTATTTAATTTGACCAGAAAGAGAAGGTGTAAAAGCAAGCCACAGGTCTGGGACATGAACTGCAGTCGGCCAGCTGAGATTCTAGCGCCTTCACCACTGTGCCACTTGCTGGCCCCACATTTTTATTTTTTAAACGAGGATTTATTTTAGGGACCAGCAGTTGGTATAATGGCTATGGCGCTGGACTCCCACGTAGTCAATCACGGTTCAAGTCCTGGACCTGGTGGCTGAAATTCACGCCGGGGGCGTGTGCGTGCGTGCCCAAGATACCGAGAGGAGAATGGAGGAGAAGGGATTGCAGCGTGGCCATCCCCCCGGTGGGTGATTTCTCGCTTTCTGTCTCTCTGTCTCTCTCTGTCTTTCTGGCAAGCACATACACCCTCCTATAGCAAAAAAAAATCTTAAAAAAAAAATTTATTCATGAGAGGGGGCACATGCACACATGCAAGAGAAAATGAGAGAGAAGTAGCCTTGGCAAGGTCTTATCACACTGCAATCTCCTTCCGGGTCCTCCAATACGCTGAGGTCTTGGGCACACATGCAGCGTGTTTGAGGACAACCGGGCCAAGGATCTGAACCTGCAGTTGGCTGTGTGGCCCCTGGCACTGCAGTTCAACAGGCTACCAAATGCGCCACCAAGGCTGGGCCAGACCTCCATCCTTCATAAATCACCCCGTCCTGAGAATTCCCGTCAGCAGCGTAGGCGTGAACTAAGACCCTGTCTGCCCAGCGCCCCAGTGTTCTCAGAGGGAAGATGGGAAATAAGCTTATGAGCACTGCTAACCGCCTGGAAGGTGCCCAGCGGCAGGGGTGCCATGCAGGCTGTGTGCCGCCTGCTGGCAGACTGATCCCCCACACACCTGTGCCCCTGACCCCTAACAGACCAGCTATCTCGGCTCTACACAGCAGGCAGCAGCTGCAGCCGCAGCCCCCAAGGTTGCGTTGAGCTGAGATAGCAGTGGGAGGTCAACGTAGTGGGGGGCGGGGGGTCAGTGCTGAGCTGATGGAAGCGGGGACAGCAGGTCTGAGCTGGATCAAATGACTCTGTTCCAAGACCAGCCGCCCCCATGCCCCACGGGGTGCTCCCTGAGGTATTAACTGGCCTCTGCACGGAGCTGCCCTTTCTGAACACCAAGCAGAGGAAGGTTTCTGACACCAGGGGACAGAACCAGGCTGCGATCTTCGAGCCGGGCCTGTGTGTCTGAGCAGGGCTCCCAGGCTGGGCTCTGTCATCCTGGGCTCAGGCCCAGGAGGACTGGCCATCGCTACCGGGGACTCTCCTTACATGTAGATGCCACTGGGGACCTCTGATGCAGTCCGTTCTGTGTGGCGCTGTGGGCACACGCCCCGGTCTAAGGATGCCGATGCTGGGGTTCTAGCCTCCGTTCGTGCCGATGCTCTGGCCCTCCTGCCTTCTCGAGAAACCCCCGTCTTCCTGGTTCTCCTTCCCAGTCTCACCACTGAGCAGAGGACCACTCTACCTTCCACCAGGTGGGCAGGAGGGGACCCACACGCGGGAGGCGGCCCAGCTGCAGGACTGTGTCTTTCTGGAAGGAGCTCTTGAAGCACCTTTCAGATGAGAGGCAGTGATGGATTTTAAGGAAACCCGAGAGAAGGAACCAACAGCAAGAGCCTTGTCTTTCTCATACCCCCCTCGGCAGGGCTGTGCACAGAAACATCTCAGCCCCTCGTTTCCAGCCTTGGCCATCGCAACGCACTGTGGGTTCCCCCAGAGGAGCCCCACAGCATCTGATAGGTGAGTCCCAGGTGGGGACATCTCTGCAAAAGAGAAAAATGACCAACGTGGAACTAACTGGCCTGGGACAGTCCTCTGAGCTGGGTCATGAACAAGGGTGAGGAGACCCAAAGGAGAAAGTGGCTAGTCCTGACGTTTCTCTTGTGGAGCACACCTCCACGAGGGATGTCAGGCCCTTGGTGGAGGAGATGCTGGAACCTTCTCGGTACTTCCTCAAGACACTGGAGGAGTCGTCCTCCCACCCCATGACACCCAAGAAACTACTCGAGTACCTCCGCCACCGACCTACCCTGGGGAATTCATGGGATGGGGCTCCAGGAAGAAAACTTTCCTCCCGCGCAGCCAGAGTGACCTGGCCGGTGGTCCCTAGCCTGCCCTTAGAGAGCAGCAGGACATCCCTGCAGCCATTAGCTGGGTTCTCAGAGGGCAGTTCTGAGTCCTCCTCAGGGAAACGGTGTCAACAGACAGGCCACGGTCCGGGGACCAGAGGAGGATGCCACGCATCGGAACGGCCCACCTGGGACGGTGGCCCCAGATGCGGGCAGCTCCCTGGCCCTGCCTTCCTCCCACAGGTCTAACTCCACCTGCCGTGAGAGCTGCGAGTCCACATGCCAGGCCTGGCGGTCCAAAGTACTCGAGAGGCCGTGTTTAAAGGGCCACCATTACGCCCACCTGCCCCCTGCTGCAACCGAAGATCCGTCCTGCAGGATAAAGGGCAGAGCAGTCCAGGAAGGGAGGGGAGTGGGCAGTAACCCGAGGGGTTCTCCGTCTCCAGGGCCACCTTCCACTCCCAGGTGGATGCCCGGCACTCCTTAAAGGAGCCTGAGGTAGTAGCTCTTCTAGGCCCCAGAGACCCCCAAGCCTTCCCCATGGTAGGCAATTGTTTTTCTTTCTATTATTTTAAAAAATCTTTTCAAGTTTCTTCCGTGAATTAGAGACAGAGACAGAGATACAGCATTGCTGTCAGGGGCTCTGACTCCTCAATCCACCCCCAGCCTCAGCCAGCCCCCGGTCATGGGCATACGCATGCCCAGTGCACTCAGGGAGGTCTCTGGACATGAGCCAATAACCTTCCACGTGGGTCAGCCTCTCAGAGTATCGCGTTTTACCTGTGCACCGCCCTCAGGCCCCCATTTGTTTTTCTGAGTGGAATTCTTCCCCCTACACATTCGAGTCGGTGCTGTGATTTAAGCTCCATCTGGGGAAGAGGCAAGTGGCTTATTACAGCAGATGCAGCACGCCAGGTTTCAGGAGGGAAAGGGGCAGGAGGGCGGCGGGCTGGCACGGGCAGCGTATTTATAGCAGAGCTGAGTGTGGTTTGGTCTGGCAGGTGATCACTAAACAAAGTCGTGAGCAGGTTCTTCAGAAAGACCCAGCTTTCCTTGCACAGGCACATCCGCCCATCACAGAAAGGGTCTCCACACCTCCTGGGGCTGGGGGGTGGTTGACAGGAGGCAAGGAGCGTGTGTGTTTGTGTGTGGGAGGGTCCTAGGTAACAGCCCGTGCCGCTTCCCACACACTCAATCCCACTTCCCAGAGGATTCGCAAGCAAGACTTCAGATGTGCTATACCCAGAGCAAGATGGTACTGAAGCCTTTCACCCCCCCATCCAACAGCAGCTACGTGTGTCACATGGCTCTGTCCCCAGAGGGTAGGGACAATGCACATGCAAATGAGCATCACTGTCCACACCAAAACCCACCCAGGTCACAAGGGGACACTCAGAAATCAAAACTGAGCACTGTGGAAGACGGTGCCTTGCCGATCATGGTCCCACAGGTAACGTGCCAAAGCAGAGGCCTGCAGGCAGACTAAAGGGACTGACCGTGTTTGGGAAGGTACCAGCGAGGCTGGCGAGCGGGGTTATACCGAAAGGAGTGCACAGCCAGGGCTCTGCATCAGTAAGTGTCGGAAGCAGGCGTGAGACAGTGGCAGGCTCCTTGCCGCTGGTTCACCCGGCCCGCGGAGGTTGGGAGCGTGGAGGTTCACAAGCCACTTGTGGGATGACTTACAGTCACGGGGGCGAGTGAGGCCGTCCTGCTATTCCGAGTGCAGGGGCGGGAGGGGGGCACTCACCTGCCGCTGTGCTGGAAGGGCCCCAGGGGGTACAGCGAAGGGCTGTAGGCTCCCAGGCTGTAGAACGCCTCCGTGACCTCCTGCAGCGAGGGGCACCACAAGTGCATGTCTTCATCTGCCAGGCCAGCAAGGACAGAGAGTCAGAGCAGGGACAGGGCAGGACAGGACACGCTATTCCCACGGGAGGGGCTGGCTGTGAGGATCCTGGTCTGAGGCGGCCGTGTCTGCGCTCTCCCGCACCGTAAGTGCGTTATCGTTATCGGGAGAAATGAAGCTGCCCAGTTTTTCGGATCCTCGCTGGCACTCTGGGAACCTGCCGATGTTCTCTCTCTCTCTCTCTCTCTCTTTTTTCTTTTTTTTTTTAAGAGGTATTTGCTATAGGGCGCATGCGCTTGCCAGCAAGATAGAGAGAGACAAAGAGACAGAAAGTGATTCCCTGGGGGGGATGGCCACGCTGCAACCCCTTCTCCTCCATTCTCCTCTCGGGATCTTGGGCACACACACACACACGCGCCCTGCGCGAGTTCTAAGCCACCGGGTCCGGGACTAGCCATTATGCCAATTGCTAGTCCCAGCCTACGTTCTCTTATTTGGTCTCCACGGAGGTATGACTGAACTAAAGTGCAAGGACCCAAGGATGGCCATGGCACAACCACCTACATCAGGCAGAGGTCGGGGAGCTCGGCTGCCCCCAGCACATGAGGTGAAGGGGCCTGGACCAGAGGTCTTGAAACTGCGAGACACAGGAGCCACCAGCCTCTGCACCGCCGGGCTCTCTGCTACGAAAGGCTGAGACCAGCACTGAACCCATGCAATCCGCTGTCACCCTTGCTGCAACATTTGGGTACTCCCAGTCCACTGTCCCTGCTGGGAGCAATGCCTGCCGCCCTTCTGCAGCCTGGGATATGTGTTCTCAGCAAGTGTGAGCTACACGGGCTGGTCTCTCTTGACCAGTTTAACAAAAAACATGGACGATAATCTGACCACATCAACAAAGAGGAAAAACTGCTACTCAAGGCCTCTTCGCTCAGAGTATTTAAGGAAATTTTTTTTCCTTTTTTTTGGAGAAGTTTTTTCTCATTGGGCATGTGCGCTAGCCAGAAAGACAGAGAGAGACAGAGAGATAGAAAGCGAGAAATCACCCCCCAGAGGGGGTGGCCACGCTGCAATCCCTTCTCCTCCATTCTCCTCTCGGGATCTTGGGCACGCATGCACACGCGCTCGGCGTGATTTTAAGCCACAGGGTCGGGGACTCGAACTGCGGTCAACTACATGGGAGTCCAGCGACATAGCCATTACGCTAATTGCTGGTCCCAGGAAATTTTCACAACTGTTAGAGTTGAAGAATAAAACCCAATGTGGCCGAGTGTATCTTCCCAAGATGGCTGTAACCGGAGTTCGCTTCCTGCCTGCACTTGCACAGCGACCTCCCAGCTCCTGCTAAGAAGCGGAGTCTACATCTCCACTCGGCCACCATTCCTCCTACTTCATCTCCTTTGCTGATTCACTTGCTCTTGAGCTGCCTCTCCCTATTACATGGAAATCCCACAAGGGCAGGAGCCCCGTCCAGCATGCCTGGTGACAAGAGGAGCAGCTGGCACGTGGAGGAAGCCAAATGGATGAACGTGTGGACGAGGGAGTGGAGAGAATCCCAAATCAGACCTGACCAGGCTGAGACTTAGTTTCAGTCAGGACCGAAGGGGAGTGGAAAACTAGTCACGAGATGAGCTGGCGGTGTCATTTCGAATCTGACAATGGACCAGGCATGGTAACCCGGTAACCCGGGAGGTCCTCTACACAAATAGAGTGGAAGGAAAACGAGCTTGAAAGCCAGGCAAGGGCTGCGTCAGTAGCTCATGCTGGAACTCCGGCCATTCCAGAGAGTGTTTGGTCCTGCCTGCCATTGCGATGCCCCCCGCTGGAGGCCAGAACCTGACCAAGCATGAAAGAGAAAAAGGTGACCTGGGGGAGCTCACAGTCTAAGAGGGAGAGGACACAGTGAGTGTAAGAGTTTGGCATGGTAGTTAAGGTGCGGGACTCCCACATGGTTGACTGCAGTTCAAGTCCCGGACTGGCAGCTTGAAACTCATGCCAGGTGTGTACGTGCGTGCCCAAAATCCGGAGAGGAGAATTAAGGAGAAGGGACTGCGGCGTGGCCATCTCCCCTGGAGGGTAATTTCTCGCTTTCTGTCTCTCTGCCTCTGTCTCTCGTAGCAAAAAATCTCTCTCCAAAATAAAAAAGTGAGCGTGTTTGTGCAAAAGCGAAAGGTAAAAAAAGGTGCAGAGCCTGCTCAGTGGACGGGCTACAGGGAGGGAAGTGCCCACCAGGCAGAGGCAGAGACGGCCAAGGCGGGGCTGCATGAGTGACGGCTGGAGTGGGGTGGGGACCAAGGACCATGGCAACAAATGGTGCCCTAAGTTCCTCTAGTGGAGGAGTCGTCCAGGCAGTGGCCTCGCAGGGGAAGGCAGGGGAATGGCGGGCAGAGGGTCTCTGAAAAGTGTCCAAGGACATTGCTTCGGCAGGGGATCGAGTGTCTCTCTGGGAACGCATATGGGCTAGGACTCACTAAACAAGTAATTAGACTCCTGGAGGAGGAAAAACTTTCTTGTTTGTTTTTTTTCCTCTCAGGCAACCTAACAAGAAAGAGAGCGGTAATGACACCCTTGCCGGGTTCATGAACGAACTAGGAAGAACGGAGTCTACGAAACACGGTAAGATTCCACTCACAAGAGAGGACTGTGTACCGGGTGGGGCCTCTGGGGGGCCGTGCACGTATGTGCACGCATGTGCGGGTGGGAGGATGAACTTTCCAGGGAGGGGAGAGAACCCACTTAGGGCGAGGCCCCTGGAAACTCAGCCTGGCTGGGACATCCTGTCAGCAGCGTCAGACCCCCAAGGGAGCTGTGTCCAGCCACGGCCCACGCACCCCCTTGGCCCACAAAGGTGCACCTTCTGCTTTAAGACCCCGTGGGGCAGCAGCACCGACTGGCCAGCTGTAGGCCTGGGGCGGGGTGCTGTCCCTCCCTCCCCAGGATGGCTGGTGTCAGGAGCAGTTTCACAGTAGGTCTGGGATGCTTCCGTCACCCACCAATAGCTCTGGAAGTTGGTTACGCGAGTACAGGAAACCACCCACCCCAGCGCCACAGTCAAGGCCACCTCTGAGCAGGCCTGGCACCCCGCTTCTCCCGAGCGCTGTCCTGAATGACACAAGGAAATGCAGACGTGTAGCTGCCAGCTCCGCCTCCCCGACTCAGTTCTCTGCACACAGAAGCACTTAGGTGATCTCAGGGTGCACCCCACGGTGCCTCAGTCCTGCCATCTGGGCTCTGTCGGAGCCTGCGCGTCTGGAGCAGTCTCTTTAGGTGGCTCTCCTGGGATGGAACTGAAGCCTGAGGGACAGGCAGGGGGAAAAGCACCAGGCCTGAAATTGAAGTGACTTTTCCATCTGTGCTGCAGGAGAGGCAATTATTCCCCGCCGCGGCGTGGTCCCGGCAGCGTTTCCATGGATAGGAAAGTCACGCGCATCCCACGAACCTCCTGCTCCCCTCCCTGGACCTCCACCCTCCCTGTTCCCATCTTGGGCCTCAGGGGGATGAGGGAGGGGCTGGGCCACGGGCTGTCTCTGTTCTTCGGGTCCTGCAAGCCCTTCCCTGGTCACGGAGCCAAGAAGCACGTGGGGAGGTAGGGGGGCACGCAGTCCCATGTGCCGGATCCTCACTCTCTGACCATCTCAGAGACTCCATGACCCCATGGTGCCACAGGTGAGCAAAGTCCCCACCAGCCTTAAGTGAGGGTTTCTAAAGGAAAACAAGACACCCACTGGATCCCAGCTGAAGCCTGGATCTTTTTCTTCTTGGAGAGGTTTTTGCTATAGGGCTCGTGCACTCACCAGACAGAGAGAGACAGAGAGAAAGCGAGAAATCACCCCCCAGGGGGGATGGCCACGCCGCAATCCCTTCTCCTCCATTCTCCTCTCGGGATCTTGGGCAC